TTTACTTTCTAATGTAATAAACAATCAAAACCATAAGTATTATTATTAGGTTCAGTAAATATTTTTATTTGTTTTTAATGTTTTAATTTGCAGAATAATTTTAAGAGTCTATTTTATTACCATAAAAAATATATTTCAAAAGTAATTCAAATATACTGTGAGCTATTTCAGAATAATTAAAAATCTTTTCATATTTTTCCCATGGCTTAACTTACATAATTGACACGATATCACAGTCTCAACTATTTAGCATTTTGGAGAAATTTAACCACAAAGACAAAACAGTTTTGGAATGTCAATTTCCTTACAGAAATTAGTTCACAATAAGAAACATGATCTTTTTTCCTACGTAGAGGGTATATAAATCTGTATTTCCACTAGGATGGAACATCCACATCTGTGGCCAATAGAACACTTGCTTTATATAAATGTAAATAGATGTGTGTATCTCCATACCTAGGTGATACAGAATTCCAACTTTGAAGAGACAATATGATAGAAAGAAGTCTTTCAGATATAGAATCAGTTTTGCATAATTTTTTCATGAAAAATCCTTTGAATTAATAAATAGTATATTCTTTATTTTAAAAAAAACTTAATGCTTATGAATAAGAGAACCTTGTTAATATCTATAAAGGTCAGTATGTAATACATAGTAATATTTACTCACAAAGCATACATTTGCAAGCCTTACAGAATATAGTTTTAAAATAATTTTAAGTATTATTCAGTTCCCTGTAGACTCTATTACTAATGTGTCTGCATCTTATGCAGAGTAAGCCTAAAGAGTGAATAGGCAGCTGACTTAGGGATACAGAGGTCAGTTCACTGGATCACTGGCTTTCTTACCTAGATCAATGATTCCAACTGTTCATTCCACACAAGTGCAAGGTGATCGCAATCATTTACAGATGCATTATAAAGTTCTCATAACACTGTAAATACACTTTAAAAGAATGTCTACATAAATAAAGTTTTTTAAAAAGAAAGAAAATACAGAAGGATGGGAATGGATAAAAGACATTAATTCTAAATAAAGTCTTAAATAAAAAGAAGAAAAAAGAAATAGAACCCCCAAAAGATTGGAATGGACAAGAGACTAAGAGAAAACGAGAAAATGTCAAAGCTAAGGACCTGGGGTTGCTGTGAAGAGCTAAGCTGCAGAACTCTAGTCAGGACTAGCTCCTTTGGCTCCATAACTCCCTGACAATTAGCTTTCCTTTAGAGCACGTGGCCACTCAAGTACAGCAGTGAAGGATATCAGAACCCCAACTGACCAAAATACTTCTGAAATTCAGCTGAAGGCTGTCCTTATTAACTCTTTGACTTTAACATTTGTTGGAAATCTATATAAAAGTCTACCTTACTTCTTTGGGAGAAACCCACAATAAACTTAACTGAAAGTTTCTTGGATGTTGAAGATCTATCTATGGCTGGGACAAGCAAATGTTTTCTTAAACACCCAGACAGTAAATATTTCAGGCTTTGCAGACTACAGGCATTGATGACATGTAAACGAATGAGCCTGTGTTCCAATAAAATTTTATCTACCAAAAAATAACTCAGTGGATTTAATTTGGCCTATAAGCCATAATTTGCCAATCTCTGGTCTAGAATATTTTATATTAAAAATACTTCCTGGGCTGGAATTGTGTCTCAGTGGTAGAGTGCTCCTGTACCATGTATGAGGCAATGGGTTAGATCCTCAGCACCACATAAGTGAAAAATAAAGATATTGTGTCCACCTAAAATTAAAAAATATATATATTAAAAAACACTTCCATGCTTTTTAAAGTCAGAAATTCTCAATGACCTTGTCAATTATTTTTCATTAGAGAAAATGTGTATGTGCCCCCCAAACAACATTAACTTGAGCTCTACTAATTGGGCATTTGTGATTCTACCTTTGAACAGACTGAGGTTTACCACCACTCTATCTTGCAAAAGCAGTGCTTATTCTCTGTGATAACAGAGCCTGAGAGGACTTGTGTATAAAAGCTCAAGAAAACAAACTCACTCACAAATCTCAAAGCAAGTTGTAGGTATACAAACTAAGATGATTAAAAACAAATTGTATCTGTTTATAAAGTGTTCAAACTTAATCATTATTTCAAAATAGTTTTTAGCTTTAACTAGTATATATCTCAAATCAGTACAATAATATTTCTTTAAAACTATCCTATAAATTTCTATTGTTCTCTCATTCGAACCACCTAGCTTTCAAGTCAGTGAAGTTTTAATGAAGCATAAGATACTCATTCATTTAAAAAGTTTCACTGAATGTTTATTAGCAGACAGACACTGCTTTAGAAGTTGGAGATTTAAGAATACAACACAGTCCTGCCACTAAGAGGTTCTCAGTCTGGCAAAGAAATCTCCTCAGAAAATAACAATGAATCTTCAAGAACAATCTTATTGTCAGGCTAATTGTTATTTTATTTTTATTTACTTATTTATTTTTGTGGTATTGGGAATGAATTCAGGAGTTCTGTACCACCGAACTTCATTCTGAGCCCTGCCTCCCTTTCATTAAATTTTGATAAAGAGCCACTGAGTTGTTGAGGTTCTCCCTAAGCTGCTGAGGCTGGCCTTCAAATTATGGTCTTCTTGCCTCAGCCTCTTTAAGTCCCTGGGACTAGGGTCCTGTGTTGGCCATTAGGTTAACTTTTCTTTTCTTTCTTTTTGGTACAAGGGATTGAATGCAGAAGTTCTTAACCACTGAGTCACCTCCCCAGCCCTTTTTATTTTCTGTTTTAAGTCAGGGTCTCACTAAGTTGCTTAGGATCTCACTAAGTTACTTAGGGTCTCCCTAAGCTGCTGAAGCTGGCCTTGAACTTGCAATCCTCTTGCCTTAGCCTTCAGAGTCATTAGGATTATAGGCAATTACCACTCCACCTAGCTTCCGATTAACTTTTAATATGAAAATTAATTTTTAAGTTCCAAGAAATGTTATAAGAAAGTAGATTAGCTGTTGCCTAGCACTGGGAGTTTGTGGAACACTGAAATAATTGTGAGTGGGTACCAGGCTTCTTTTAGAAGGCATGAAAATGTCCTAAATTTGAATGTAGTGGTGTTTGTAGTACTATCTGAATATAATAAAATTCATTTAAGTATAAAAAAAAGAAATGGTGTAAATATCAGGAATTAGATATTTTATCAAATTAAGCATTAACATCAGTTTCACATATAGCTTTATATTTCTGCATTATTTACTTATATAAATGGAGTAAAAACATGGAAAACACTGATTTCTAGATATGTAATAAAACAAATGGTGTGTGCTACAAAGTCAAGTTTTTAACAAACATTTAAGAGAAGCCCAAGTTGCAGAACAATACCTACAGGATAACTCCTCTTGGAAAGGACCGAAGAAACATGGAACATCTCTGAAGGACTGCTCACAGAGGTACTGGGGATGGTTATTCTTCTGCTCTCCTGACACCCTCACATGCTAAGCAAGAACTTTACCATCAAGTTACACTCCCAGCCCAAATGTACAAGTATTAGGCTTTCCTTATGAGATGCAAACAAAGAATAGGGGTGGGAGGTTATCTTCAAATTCATCTTTCTACTCTAAAACCTAAGAATGCTTTTTCCTCCCCTATCCTGATTTACAATTAGTCCCCCATCCACCTAGAAGGAAAAGTTAAAAAGGAGAATACAGAAACCCAAACAATGTGTATAAACATGATTGTGAGAAAAGAGGCAGAGATTATCATTCACTACACAGATTCCTTGAGCACCCCACATACCAGATGCTGTAGGTAAGAACAGCTAAGATCTCCCTTTTCCTTTTCCCCTTACTCACAACATCCAAAACCACAAATTAATTAAAGAAATGCTTCTGGCTGCTTAGGCAACACAAATGACAGGCTAGCATATTATGCTTTAACAGTCCATCATGGGGATTTTTAACTTAAGCAACTGTAAAATAAAAGTGTACTGACGCTAAAGATACTTTATAAACCTGTCACTTTAATCTTTCTTCATGACTTGATGGTTTAATTAGGTGGCTATACAATGCCATAAAGTTTCACTAAAAAAAATTATAAGCATTACTAGTTGCTGGATATGAAACAAATCATAACACTGGGCTTTTATTCTCAGACTATCAGACTAAATGATAGTGAAATTGAATAAAACTTCTTAGAAGTTTTATTAGATTAGATAGATATTTTTACTTTGTAAAGAGTGTCTTTGCTTGATTAGGATTTCTTGTGTTTCACTATATCAAGAAGTAAGATGGGAGTGCACAGCTTATTTAAAACCTAATGCTGGGAACAGAGAGCTTCCACAAAAACTATGACAAAAGGAAACAAGGTGATACAAACAAACAAGGTTTTCTGAAAGAAGAAACTGATGATGCTTCTAACTACAAGAACTGATTTCAAATTTCTTTAAAAATTTACTCTGACAGCATAGCCATTTCTGGGTGTCTATTTCATGAAATGTAAAAAACAAACCAAACCAAACCACTAAGTATCCAATTGTTTGAGTCTACTTGTGAACAGGAGTGACATCCAGAAAGAACCATTAGTTTACTCCTTTTTCCTTTGCATTCACATGGAAATTTTAGTTGGAAAACAAGCTTGATAAGACCTATTAATGAAAATGGTAAAACTGGAACCCTGCCCAGTTTTTAATGTTGAATTAAAAAAAGAAGACCCATAAACCTGATAAGAAAACAAGGTCAGATTTATACTTCTTCATTTATTACTTCTGACATTTCTTTTTTTTTTTTTAATATTTTTTTTTTAATTTTTAATATTTATTTTTTAGTTATCGGCGGATACAACATCTTCGTTTTGTATGTGGTGCTGAGGATCGAACCCGGGCCGCACGCATGCCAGGCGAGCCCGCTACCGCTTGAGCCACATCCCCAGCCCCTACTTCTGACATTTCTAATGGTTAAGTGTAAAATTTTTCACAGGGTACAGAACATATGAAAAGGTAATTGCTGCTAAAGTCTAAAATTCTCTTTTCAATTATTATTTACTGACCTCTTCTGGGACTCTCATGATTGAAGAGAATGCCATTCACTGCAAAGAGATTATATGCCTCCCGGAAGTTCACCACAATCCAATAAGCATACAATTTTGCTGCCCCTGTTGAATTAATTTTTTAAAAACAAATTAATATAAAAGACAAGGATTTTCACTTATCTTAAAGAACAAAAATTACAGTTTGTTTCAAAGTAGCAAAAAATGTGACTCAAAAGCCAAAAGAAAAAAAAATTCCTATGCCAGTTAATCAGGTTCACCAGGAAATATTTAATAATTTCCTACTTTTGTAATAGCCACAGTTTGTTCTTTCACCATCTAATTGTTTCAACTGTACTGTGTGCAACTGCGATATATCAAATTCTCCTTTCTAGGTAGTTTTTGTTTATTTGGTTTTAGGTTTAAAGAATTAGAAAGGAAAAAAATTGGGGATCTTAACATTTAGATGTTTTGAAATTTTATCACTAAAGTCTTTCATGAATAGTCTCTTTACAAATATATTAAATGTGATAGTAATATTTTTTCCCTAAGGGTTTGGGTTCAGGGGAAAACTTTTATGAGAGACATAAAAAACATGAAATCTTATCACTTCAGCACAATTTCAGAAGTTTAGAAAAAGAATAATGTTGGGTCTAATTTTTCTTTTAAAGTGATCTGTATAGAAGGGTTGAATGAACACAGATTGGTGAAGTGAGGTGGTAATTTTACCCCGAAGGCAATTGCAGCAAATACTTGTAGTTAGCAATGTATAAAGGTATGCTTCTCAACAAGTCTAGTCACTGTAGTCTATCTTAATGTTAATCTCACACCCAAATGACTTCAGCTGTGAGACATGAACAGAATGAAAGCAGAGCAGAAACACGCCCCCCACACCCACAGAGCTCGCCTTGCAGGCAGACAGCAGTGCACACATGGGTTCTCACCATAGGGCGACCGAGGATAGAATGGGGTAGTTTCCTTCTGGGGTATTTCTTGCACTTTCCCATAAAGCTCACTTGTTGAGGCCTGATAGAACTTCACAGAGTTGATAAGGCCACAGGTCTTAATTGCATCCAAAAGCCGCAAAGTGCCAATCCCATCAACATCTGCAGTATACTCAGCTAAGTCAAAAGAAATCTGGAAAGAGAGGGCAGAGATGTGGCCAAATCAGTGGGGTGAGGAAGACTACAGTTTCATACACTGTGAAGCATCATGTGCGTGAGGAAACACCATCGTTTTCAAACAGCATAGCAATAAGAGTGTGGATGTCCTCTACTTCTAATATCAAATGGCTGGAAAAATATTTTAATACCCACTCATTACCTATGGTAATGTGAAGAACAGTTTAACCACCCTTATATTAACATCCCATTCTAGGTTGAAGCCCTGGGGCACTACTTATCACAAGGCAAAGCTCTGCTCCTAGAAGATATTCCTTTAAAATTCAGTTTGGACTAATTTCTTGAGCATGGCTCATATTTTTCACATTTCTAATGAGTTCCAATTGATTATTTTGCACTGAGAAGATTGAGAACATGTGCTTTAGAATACAGTTGATTTTTAAATGGACTGTTTTGTTTTCTCTAAACTAAGAAGCAAGAATGACTTTGTAGTATTTTGCAAGCATATGTAATTTTTTTAACATTTCACTTCTTTTTTTAAAATTGCTTTTATTTTTTAAATACATGAAGCGGAATACACCACAATTCTTATTACACATATAGAACATAATTTTTCATATCTGTTTGTATATAAAGTATGTTCACACCAATTCATGTCTTCATACATGTACTTTGGATAATGATGTCCATCACATTCCATCATCATTGCTAACCCTCTGCACCCTCCCTTTCCCTCCTACCCCTCTGCCCTATCTAGAGTTCGTCTATTCCTCCCACGCTCCCTCTCCCTACCCCACTATGAGTCACCTTATATCAGAGAAAACATTTGGCATTTGTTTTGGGGGGACTGGCTAACTTCACTTAGCATTATCTTCTCCAACAGCATCCATTTACCTGCAAATGCCATGATTTTATTCTCTTTTATTGATTAGTAATATTCATTATGTATATATGTCACATTTATTTTTATTTTATTTTGTATCCATTAATCTACTGAAGGGCATCTAGGTTGATTCCACAGGTTAGCTATTGTGTGTGAATTGTGCTGCTATAAACATTGATGTGGCTGTGTCCCTGTAGTACGCTGTTTTTAAGTCCTCTGGAAATAGACAGAGGAGTGAGATAGCTGGGTCAAATGGTGGTTCCATTCCCAGTTTTCCAAGGAATCTCTATACTGCTTCCCATATTGGCTGCACCAATTTGCAATGCGTCCAGCAATGTATGAGTGTGCCTTTTTCCCCACATCCTTGCCAACACTTATTTTTGTTTGTCTTCATAATAGCTGCCATTCTGATTGGAGTGAGATGAAATCTTAGAGTGATTTTGATTTGCAATTCTCTAATATCTAGTGATGATGAACATTTTTCATATATTTGTTGATTGATTGTATATGTTTTTATTATAAGGCACAGTGCATTCAGCAATATACTAATATACATATGAATTGACTTCTTAGAGAATCTTGAGAATCTTTCAGTTCTTTACGTTTTTTAAAAATACATTTGATGGGCCAAGGACCTGAACAGACACTTCTCAGAGGAGGACATACAATCAATCAACAAGTACATGAAAAAATGCTCACCATCTCTAGCACTCAGAGAAATGCAAATCAAAACCACCCTAAGATACCATCTCACTCCAGTAAGATTGGCAGCCATTATGAAGTCAAACAACAACAAGTGCTGGCGAGGATGTGGGGAAAAAGGTACACTTGTACATTGCTGGTGGGACTGCAAATTGGTGCAGCCAATTTGGAAAGCAGTATGGAGATTTCTTGGAAAGCTGGGAATGGAGCCACCATTTGACCCAGCTATTCCCCTTCAAGGTCTATTCCCTAAAGACCTAAAAAGAGCATGCTACAGGGACACTGCTACATCGATGTTCATAGCAGCACAATTCACAATAGCAAGACTGTGGAACCAACCTAGATGCCCTTCAATAGACGAATGGATAAAAAAATGTGGCATTTATACACAATGGAGTATTACTCTGCATTAAAAAATGACAAAATCATAGAATTTGCAGGGAAATGGATGGCATTAGAGCAGATTATGCTAAGTGAAGCTAGCCAATCCCTAAAAAACAAATGCCAAATGTCTTCTTTGATATAAGGAGAGTAACTAAGAACAGAGTAGGGTCGAAGAGCATGAGAAGAAGATTAACATTAAACAGGGATGAGAGTTGGGAGGGAAAGGGAGAGAGAAGGGAAATTGCATGGAAATGGAAGGAGACCCTCAGGGTTATACAAAAGTACATACAAGAGGAAGTGAGGGGAAAGGGAAAAATAATACAAGGGGGACAAATGAATGACAGTAGAGGGGGCAGAGAGAGAAGAGGGGAGGGGAGGGGAGGGGAGGGGGGATAGTAGAGGATAGGAAAGGCAGCAGAACACAACAGACACTAGTATGGCAATATGTAAATCAATGGATGTGTAACTGATGTGATTCTGCAATCTGTATATGGGGTAAAAATGGGAGTTCATAACCCGCTTGAATCAAAGTGTGAAATATGATATATCAAGAACTATGTAATGTTTTGAACAACCAGCAATAAAAAATTTAAAAAAAAAAACAAATTAACCATTACAATAGTCAACACCATATTACTAACTGCACCATCACAAAAATAAAACTTTCTTCATTTGAAAAAAAAAAAATACATTTGACTGATACACTTTCTTAAGTCATCTCTACACTTAATAAACAAGTTAACCTAATATTAAATGTTCTAAAATAATAAGTCTTTGTCACTATTCACTGCTTTGTGAATGCCCTCAATCTTCACACTACGAAACTTCTCACTGAGGCCAATAGCACTTTTGTTTCTTGGTCCTGAGTGGCCCCTGAGCAGAAGCTGTGGCCTGAACACAGGATTACTTGGGCAACTGGGAAATTGCTCACTAGGGACTCAACCAAGTCTACTAAATTCATGTCATCTAGGCTTGTGAGCAAACCTCAGGTTGAAGCAAGAAAGAAAAGATATGTCTCACCCTAATCTTTCAAAGCCACAAAGGCAAATTGAAGGCCATTTTATTTTTTTTAAATAATAGTTTATTGAGACATAATTTACATACCATAAAACTCACCATTTTAAAGTTTATGGTTCAGTGGTTTTAGTATAATCGCAACATTATGCAATCATCATTACCATCTAATTCCAGAACATTTTCATCACACCAGAAAAGAAACTCTGTACCCAATAGCAATCACTACCCAGCCCTTAATTCCCACTCCAACCCAGACAGCCACTAATCTATTTTCTGTCTTTATAAAATGTCTCTAGCTACTGGGGACATTTCCTAAAAATGGAACCATACAATATGTGGGCTTTTGTGACTGGCTTCTTTAATGTAATGCTTTCATTTCTTTTGGAGATTCATTACACACACACACACACACACACACACACACGAATGAATGGAGTTGCCAGGCTGTTTTCCAAAGTGCCCACACCATTTCATTCTCACCAGTAGTGACTAAGGGTTCTAATTTCTCCACATCCTAACCAAAACTTGTTGTGGTTTGTCTTTTTGATTATAGTCATGCTAGTGGTTTAAAGTGGTATCTAATTGTGGTTTTGATATGCATTTTCCTGATGACTAATGATATTGAGCATCTTTTCATATGTTTATTGGCCATCTATATGCATTCTTTAAAAATGTGTATTTGAATCCTTTGCCCATTTTTAAATTGGGCCATTTGTCTTTTCATTATTGAGTGGATACAGGTCCCTTATCAGATATATAACTTGCAATCTTTTCCTCCCACTGTGAAGGTTGTCTATCCATTTTCTTAATGGTGGCCAGTGAAGCAAAAAAAAATATACTTTGTATTTCATCATTTATATTTTTGGTGTCATATTTACAAACACTTTGCTTAACTCAAGATCATGAAGATTTTACCTCTGTGTTTTATTCTCAATGTTTTATATTTCTGTCTCTCATATTTATTTCTACAATCTATTTGAGTGAAGTTTTGTATATGGTTTGGGGGTCCAATTCACTGTTTCTAGATGGATACCCAGTTGTCCCAGCACCATTTGTTGGAAAGGCTATTATTTCATGGTTGAATGGTCTAGATGATGGGCTGTTTTGTTCTCAGGAAAAGCAATGGCCCTATGTTGAAAGAACAGAGAACTGAGAAGACCTCAAGACTGGAGATATCAATAGCTACAAGAAAACAAGCCAGTTTTACTTAGGTCCATATGGGGCAGACATAACACACAATAGTTTCTGTGAATAGATTATTTAATCCTAAAAACAGATAAGCACTTGGGGCTGGGGATGTGGCTCAAGCGGTAGCGCGCTCGCCTGGCATGCGTGCAGCCCGGGTTCGACCCTCAGCACCACATACAAACAAAGATGTTGTGTCCGCCGAAAAAAAACTAAAAAAAAAAAAAGAATATTAAAAAAAAAAAAAAACAGATAAGCACTTAAAGTGGGACAAAGAAGTTATAGTAAGAGGTAGAGTAGCATATTTTACTCATGGTGAATGTGATCTATGTTGTATATATTACATATCTGCATGATATTCAGGGTAAAAAACATGTCCCATTAATCTTAGGAACTTAAGAAATTCATTATTCAGAGGACATACTCATAGCAAAGGATTTAAAGCAGTTAGGCTGAAGCTAGCAGATGAGGCAGAAGGTGGTATGGTGGGGGTAGCAGTCTGTCTACAAATTTTGACTACATCAAGAATACAGCATACATTACATAATCAAAATTTTGGAGGATAAGACTGACAAAAATCTAATAGTTTACAAAGTTTTTTTTAAAACATAAAGTATCAAATTGAGTAATTTCCTTTTTTAAAAAAAAATCAAAACAGTACTTTATAGTTTTATCAACTCCTAAAGGTTATGATCCTTAAAACTTTGAGAGCTCATGGAGTTACAGCCCACTGGCTGAATATGGCCAGCTGCCTATTGGGGAATTAAAAGTTTCATGAGATACAGCCACATTCAGTCCTTTACACATTTTCCATGGCTGTTTTGGTGGTATGACCACAGAGTTAA